TTTTAGAAGAATATTTAATGATATAGGAAAATGTTTTGATATATTAAGTTAAAAGGAACATTAGAAATTATAAATACAGGATGACCCCAGTTTTTTAAAGGGAAAATTTATATATGGCATTTTAAAATGAAGAAGTGTGTGTGTGTTTCTGTGTGTGTTTATTTTCATAAGGAAAAGATTGGAGGACTATATACCAAAATCTTAACAGTGGTTATCTTTGCTTGCTTTTTATTTTCTTTCTTTCTTTGTTTCTTTTCTTTCATTTTTTTTTTTTTTTTGGTACCATATGTTTTCTATTTTGAGCATAAAGTATTACTCTGTGGTCAGAAAAACAATGTTTTTTAAACTAAAACTATGTATAAACCTTAATATTTATGTTTTTTGACAGGTAGATTTTGTGCAATAAAATGCCTTTAATAAGGACTGTTAATTTGGAGATTTGGTTGGGCTAAAATTGATTCATGAGTAAATGGTTTTTTCCCTGAAAATTAATAATACAGAGGAGATTTTAGAGAAACACTTACAAGCTTAAGAGAACTTTTCAAGTACATTGGAAAGTATGCATAAGACTCGGTAAATCATTTTTTCATCAATGCCTGTCCCCGAAGTGCTTCTTCCTGGCAGGTGAATTTGCATATTTCTGTTTGCTTTATGTAGAAGCAGTAGTCCATAATTCACCCATTTTACTAACAATCTGCCTTTCCCCCTGCCAGTTGGAAGCTGATATTTTTAACATGTGTGTCCTATAAGGGTTCCCATTCACTCTTAGGTTACAGGCAGACATCTTTTAACAATTTGGGGTCACTTTTCCACAGGTGATGAAAACATACCATATGTATCATGCAGAGAGCATCAGTGCTGAAAGCAAGCTGAAAGAGGCCGAGAAACAAGAGGAAAAGCAAATTGGAAGATCTGGTGATCCAGTCTTCCATATTAGACTAGAAGAGAGACACCAGCGGCGAAGCTCTGTGAAGAAAATTGAAAAAATGAAAGAAAAGGTGAGTAAAAATATATTGCAGAGCCTTTCTGTTCTCATTTGAGGAGACAAAGCTAAGAACCCTGATGTAATAGCTGATATACGCAAGTTGTAAATTATTGCGAAATGACATGCATTTCCTCCCATGGGAATGGAAAAATGTTTAAGAAATGTAAAAATCATGTAATAACAGCTGGACATCATTCACTGGTGAATGCCAAGTATTCGATACACAATGTGGAGAACTTGAATATTAACAAAGAGATTTCTTTGCAAATGGGCCTGAAGCCCAACCCAAATACATCGTTGTTATTCCCTGTAGCTGGGTAATTTTAGTTTGCTGTTTAAATCAGATTCAAAATGTACTTTGGGCAAAGGACTTCCATGGTCATTTGTATATGTGGAATAAATTGTTTAGATTAATAAAAATTCGTGTATGTTTTCCTGTCTTGTTTAAAAATGACTTTGCTTTCTTTCCTGATGCCTGAATCTTCTTCATTTCAGAGACAAGCAAAATATTCAGAAAATAAGCTAAAATCAATTAAGGCACGGAATGAATATCTTCTAACGCTTGAAGCAACCAATGCCTCAGTTTTCAAGTATTATATTCATGATCTTTCAGATTTAATTGATGTAAGTACTTGAAGTTTTTGTATTTTTCATACTAAAATAAAATGAACAATAACTATATTTCATTCATTGGAAAACACCACTTCTTAAGACTATTATTTTATGTAGTACTCAAGAAAGAAAAAAATACTTCCAATTGAACTAAACGTGTTACCAAGACACTATCGAGTGTAAGATGCATGTGAAAAAGTATGTATCCTAAAACCAATGAAAAATAGATTGTTAGGTATTGTGAAGCTGTGAGCGCCTGGTGAACTCCGCTAGGAAGGGGACCCAGTCATTTTTTTTCTCTCTTCTTTTTTCGAGACAGGGTCTCACTCTGCCCAGGCTAGAGCGCAGTAGTGTGATCATAGCTCACTGTAAACTAAATCTCCTGGACTTAAGCGATCCTCCTGCCTTGACCTCCCAAGTAACTGGGATTACAGGTGCGCGCCACTGCACTCAGCTCCCAGTCGTTTTCAAGTCATGCAGTGGCACGGCCCTAACGGTATTCCTTGATTCAAAATGCATTTGTTGGGCCCCTGCTATTGTGAAATGCTGAGGCTCTAAGTCGACACATGCAGTCCTTACCCGGTGGAATCTGAAGTGGAGAAGACAGATGTCTTCTCAAATGGCTACACAAATGATTGCTTTATGACAGCAGCAATCAATACTGGGAAGCAAAATAGAGTGCATATAAACCACTTTTATAGATTGATCTAGGTCCCTATACTTCTCTCTTAAGATATGATATAAAAAGCAGTAACTGGACTCATTTAGACTCTCCAAATATATATTCATTATTATATTTATGCAGTGTTTAAGGCCATTATTTCCCCACCTTTAACCCTCTGCATCATCCATTCATTCTTTCATTCAGAAAAGATGTACCGAGTTAGCCCGGTCATTGTGCTAACATCGTAGGAGACTGCAAAGATGAAACAGGCAAAAATCCTGTGTCCAAAAATGCCACTACCTGCTGAGAACACGTAAAAAGTTATTGAGTGCCATAGGAAAAACACAGATAAAATAAGAAAGGTTCACAGAGTTATCTACTGGAATTTACTCATATACTCTTTCGTATTGATTGGATTCCATAGTTTTATGATATTATAAAATTATTTTTCATGGCTCATAGTAGCTGTCATAATTTAAACATACAGTAGGTAAAAACAACTTTATTTTTATGGTGAATTTAAGGCTCATGTGCTCATTTATTATTTTGGAACCACAGTCTGAGACTTTTACCAAAATAACTGTTAAGAGAGGGAATTATTTTTTTTTAGCTTATCATCACTCTGATGTGACTTTTCCTTTTTATTTTAGTCTCAAAACTATTTTATCCCAATAATATCATAATTTCTTTATACAAAACCATGTAGTAATAAATAAAACCAGGGAAAATGTTTTTTTCTTTTCATTTGTTACAAATATTTCAATCAAGTAACTAATCCCTTGATTGTTTTAAATGCAGAAGCTTTTTTTATGTTTTTAATACGTATTTCTTCCAGCACTCTGATGAAATAAAAGGCACTTTTTCTGTTATACTACTGGTACATTTCCTGGATAAAAAAATTCTACTAGGTTTCCTGACTAAAAATAAATACTACTGTTTTCGAACTTAGACTTGTAAGTTTTCTGCAAAGTATATGAAATATAGAATAACTAATTCTATGCAACTTCTCTACTTACTTTTTTGTTTAGGACTTATTTTGGTAGTGATTGGAGTACTTGGCTAAACCCAAAACAGTTTTAACACAAGGAAAACTCTCCATGTGTTGAAAACTATTTCTTTAATAACTATTAATACAAGGTACCCAGCGCTATTCTTAGTGGGAATCCAGTAATGAATAAAACAAAGTCCTCACCTTCATAGAGTTTATACAGGAGTTGGGAACAGACTGTAAATGACTTTACATATATATATACATGTGTATATATCCATATGCACATATAAAATAAGTCATGACAATGCTGTGAAGAAAATAAAACAGAGCTGTGGAGGTGCTTCTTTTGACTGGGTGGTCTGAAAAGCCTGATATTTGAGCTAAGTGAGCTGGAGAGCTGTGGGGGTATCTTGGGAAGGAGTCCCTCATACAGGACAGGCAAGGCTAAAGTGCAGAGGCAGAGGTGTGTTTTGAAAGCTCAAAATGCTCAGAGAGGGCCAGGTGCAGTGGCTCACACCTGTAATCCTAGCTCTTTAGGAGGCCTAAGTGGGAGGATATCTTGAGGTCAGGAGTTCGAGAACACCGTGGGCAACAGAGCGAGACCTCGTCTCTATAAAAGATAAAAAATTAGCCGGTCATGGTGGCAGGCTACTCGGGAGGCTGAAGCCAGAGGACCACCTGAGCCCAGGTGTTTGAAATTGTGGTGAGCTGTGCTAATGCCACTGCACCCTAGCCTGGGAAACAGAGTGAGACCCTGTCTCAAAAGAAAAAACAACAAAAAAAAGATGCTCAAGGAATAGCAAAGGAGGCCAGGATGGCTGGAGCTGAGTGAGCAAGAAGGAAAGTGCTAGGAGATAAGGCCTGCAGAAGTCCAATCACTTGGGGTCTTTTAGACAGGGAAGGGGTTTGGATTTGGTTCTGTGTGTGAGGGGGAGCCACTGAAGAGTTTTGAGCAGGGAAGTGACATCACCTGGTTTGCATTTTAAAGACTCACTCTGGCAGCTGAGTGGAAAATAGGCTGAAGGCATCTGAAAGACGAGCGTGAAAACAAGGACCTCTATCAAGAGTCTTTTGTAGTTGCTAAAGATGTTGCTGGCTTGGACTGGTGGGGTAGTGATAGACCTATAAAAAGTGGTAGGATCCAAAACACATTGAAGATAGAGCTAATCGGAATTTGATATAGTGGGTGAGAAAGAATAGAAATGACCGCAAGGTTCAGGTCCCGAGAAATGACTCCTAGGTTGATGACGATGCCACCTACTGAGATGGGAACCCCAGAAGAGAAGCAGGCTGAAGAGTGACAGCAGCAGTCCTGTTAAATCTAGTAAGACTGAGATGCCTATTGGGTACCTGTGCGAAGATGTAGAGGAGCATCCTCAGTATTTTTGGTATATATAGGACAAGAATGGCATGTCAGGATTATGAGAGAGTCACCATCATTGTCAAGGATATTTATTGAGCACTTACTATGTGACAGGCAGGTTCCTAAGCATAATCTCATCTAATCCTCACAACCCTATGAGGTAAATATTGTTATCCTTATTTTATAGATTGAAAAAAAACCTGAGGTTTACTTAGGCTAGATAACTCGCCTAATGTCACACACCTAATCAGTGGTAGGCTTCAAATTCAGACATTTTTAACCTCCAGATCTAATTAACTCTGACCTAAATAAGTAATAGTTAAATATGTCGATTAACAGTTAAATATTTTCAATTTTTTAAAAAATTGGACTCTTAAAAGTTCAGCCTTAAATTTAAAATGTGAACAATTCTCAAATAATATAACTTAAACATGACATGAAATTGGTTTGTTGTCATATCCAACTGAAATTGAGTACTCTCTTAGTGAAAATAATTTTTATGTTCTTTGACTCACTTTTAAGGCAATTAGAATGTGAAAAATGGTTGCCTATTTTGTAGGAATCCCATTTGCATATGTAGTGGTGATCCCCAAAACCATTAAGCTTGACCCTTCCTGGTGAAAAAGAAGCAGGTGATTATTATGCAAAGGTATCTAGAATCAGAATCCTTTATGCTTTGTGAGTTTGTTTAGCAAAGTGCATTTTATACTGAGCTATCTAATAATAATGAGAAGAGCTGTTATGCCTCCAGTGAGAAAAAGTCGAGACAACATTTTTAATGCACAAGATTTTGTATGGGAAATGACATGAAAGGCCGCAAATGTATGTTGATTAAATCAACGCATTATAAACAGTCAAGGAATTCAAGTTGAAACCTTTTTATATAAACCTCCAGTTTCCCCTTAGCTTCTACTCATGTCAATATCTGTCTCTATTCTAACAAATTTTCTATGATGGACCATCATGAGTGGTTCTATTGATATCACAAAAAAGTCACAAATTTTCCATAGAATTTGTATTTTAAAACCATTCTTTTATTATTACAGAACCAGTACATGTGTTTTGTAAAACACTAGAAAAGTACTACAAGCACAAATAAAATGATCCCATTGTTGCCACACGAGATCAGAGATCATCACTGGTAAAACCTAGACTTTCTCGATGTGTCCATACACATGTTTTTAGACCAAAAGAATATGAAATCATATTTCACATATGGCTCTTCAACCTTCCTTGTTTTTTTTTTTTTTTTATTTTTGAAACAGAGTCTCACTCTGTCACCCCTGGTAGAGTGCAGTGATGTCATCATAGCTCACTGTAACCTCAAACTCCTGGGCTCAAGTGATCCTCCTGCTTCAGCCTCCCGAGTAGCTGAAACTACAGGTGCTCCCCACCACACCTGACTAATATTTTCTATTTTTGGTAGAAACAGGATCTCACCCTTTCTCAGGCTGATCTTGAACTCCTGACCTCAAGCGATCCTCCCTCCTCGACTTCCTAGATTGCTAGGATTACAGGTGTGAGCCACCATGCCCAGACCAACCTTCCTTTTTTCAGTCCATGATCTTCATCCTTCCATCTCAGTAGATTTTTGTCTCATCTGATAACCAGATCATAGTCCATTTGTGACCCCAAATTTGTGATAGCTAGTGTGTCTAGACCAGACCTAATTTAGGATCACACATTGTGTCTGGCTAGTGTATCCCTTAAGTCTTTTTTTTATCTAGCAAAGTCCCTTGTTGAAGGGACATAGACAGTATTTCCTCAGAATGCCCCAGCTTCTGGAGCTGTGTGATTACCTCTTTGTCATGTCAGTTAGCCTGTTTCTCTTTCCCCTGTATTTTCTACAAAGTGAACTTTCGATAAAGGCTTGATGAATTCCAGTTAAGCACTTTGCAATAGAAATACATCATAGGTGATGCTGCTGCGTCTTATGTAGGCATATAACAACATCTATTTAAACCACTAATAGTGATGCTAAAATTACTGGCTCA